TAATTTGACTAATTTCAATGTTTTTACTACATTGAAATTGGATAATTTAGAACTTCTTGAAATAGAATAATATAAGAAATTTGGAGTGGGTTTATGTAATGTTGAATACTTGAATGTTTCTTTTTTTTTTCCTATATTGAAATTGGATTAAATTGCAAAGATTGTTTGCTAGGAAAAGTCGGATTACTATAAATATAAATATGTTGATTTATTTATATCATTATAGATATATTAATTGGATTTTAATATCATTTCTTATTATAACTATTGAATTGTAAATGTATTTTAAATTTGATAATTGTTGTATTCTTATTGATTATACATATATAATATATCAAATTAGTCATCTTTTGATGAGTTTCGATTTGACATCCATATTGTGTATATATAAAATAAATAAAATTATTATCTTTATAATAATAATAATAATAATAATAATAATAATAATAATACTATAAATTTTTATTAAAATTAATTAGAAAAATAAAATAATTTCTTAATTAATATATTTATGTTTAATGTACGTAGTTATATGTTATAAGTTAGAAAAATTATTATAATATAACACGGTTAAGTCGCAGAAGAAACAAATGTCATATTAAATAAATAATAATAATATATTTTTTTTATAAAAAATATTTAAATTTTCAACCACTTTTTCATTAACTTTTTTAAGATTTTTTTTAACAAGCATCCGCACGCATATAGGGAGAGATCGTTGACAGGGCTTAAAAGCATGTAATACACATGTGTCGTACTAGTTTACGGGGTGGATTTGTATTTTGAGATGTCGTTGACATTTATTTTGTTTTGTTTTATTTACTTACTAGTACAACACCCGTGTATTACACGGGTGTTTGTTAAAAAAATATTCTTAAATTTTAAAATGAATTAGAAAACTATATTAAATTTAGTTTACTTTTTTTAAAAAAAAAAAAAAAAATACTATATATTGTAGAATGATATGTGTTACTTATGACTTACATGTGTTATATTATATTAATTTTTATAACTTATATCATATAACTACTTGAAATATAAATATATAAATTGATAAGTAATTTTATTTTTCTAATTAATATTAAAAATAATTTTATTATTGTTATAAAAATAAATATAAATTATTTTTATATACATACAATATAGATGTTAAATCGAAGCTCATCAAAAGAAGATTAATTTGATATTTTACATATGTAAAACTGATAAAAAATACAAAAGTTATTAACTTTTAAAATATATATACAATTCAATAGTTATAATAAGGAATGATATTAAAATACAATTAATACATGACCATAAATAATCAACATATTTATGGTAATCCGAACCTAATTATTTTTGGTTTGAAATTAAATTAAAATTTACTCAAGCCTAATAACGAAGCATGTAATTTTGCCATATAGGATTTCGAAGCACCAGAAGCAGCCACGTATGCTCAGCGCGTTCTGGATTAATATATAGGGGATAGGGGAATTAATAATATTTATTTAATTCATTATATACTAGTACGAATCCCGTGCGATGCACGGGTAAGAGATATCCATTAATATTTATAAATAAAAATTTCATTAAATAAAATTTATAATTTAAAAATATGGAATCAATATGTGATACAATTTACCTATATGAATTATTGAAAATGTTATATGAAATTTAAATTTTGAAAAATTACATAAAATATGTCTCAAAATTAGTACACAACCCATACGGTGAATGTAACAGATTATAAATTATATTATATTATTTCAAAATAAGTGTTATTTTAAAATTTTTATTCAAAAATTCGTGTTGACTACAACGTAATTCCATAAAATAAATATCTCGATAAAAATTTATCACATATTTAAAATTATATGTAAAGAATAAGTATAATTATAAAACTTATGTTGTTTTATTAATTAATAATAATTTATTTTTGTATAACTATTCAAATAAAAAAAAAAAAAAGTAGTTGAGTACTTCACTAAACCATAAATAATTGACAATTACATTTATGTCCAAATTAATATTGACCCATAAATAATGAATAATTACTTAATTGACTTTTAAATTTGGGACTCAAATTCGGAGTACACAATAAATTCCTTTATTATATATTGTCTCTTATTGTTCTGAATTTATTGTTGGTTACCTTATCGTTCAAATTTATCAACTAATTTTTAATATTTAAATTACAAATTTTAAATTTTATTAACCAATATTTGTTGAAAATCATTTTTGATTTTCAAGAGGAATACACATCAATTTTTTGAATTATCACCAATATCTTATGACATGTTATTATAGGAATATAATAAAATTGAAAATCATATCACC